AAGAGCCACCATGTTATAAGTCAACAGTCTGGATCTGAATTAATAGATTTTATATCCCTCACTTAAGTTGTATTTTAGGTGAATTGCTGAAAAGATTATTTTAAAATTATTTTTTGTAGTCACTGTACAGTAAAGACACAGCTGAAACACAAAGCAATGTGAAAACAGCAATCTGAGTGAAGGTTCAAAGGGAACTGAATCATCATAGTTTCTATTTTTATAAGACATATGCATCATTATGAGATATAAGAGACACAACAAAAAACGTGCCAATGTAACAATAGGAAACCTACTTGAGTCAATACCAGTAAATCACGCTTATTTTTATGAATGCTTAGAAGCATGAGTAACAGGAACCTACATTTCTCTAAAAGTGGGTTAAAATGGATCAACGTTAGAATCTTGTCTTGTGCTATTTGCACAAAATTTGTGGCCCTGGTTGACCCCGTTTGTGTCTCTCATTAGGATGAGTCTCTTACCCCATAACCTCCTATTGCTTTAATAACATGGGTTTGCACATCCAGTTCAGCCCTCAAACTAAAAAAAATGTTACATTTATAAATATTATTCTCATTTCTTAAGACTAGTGAAAATAAGTTACCTGACAAGCTAGATTCAGACTGTACAATAAAAAAAACAACTTAATGGCTTGTTGAGACTTGTCTTCATCAAACCTCATTCGTTATTACTTGTTCTACTGGCATTTTTTTATATTATTGTATAGTATCATTGTGTCTTTGAAAGACTTCAGGCAAAGAAAAACATCAAACACTTTCAGTATAGCATTATGATTACATTGGAAATTCAATAACACTCCACTAAAAATAAGAAAATGTTTTGTGTGCATGGATGTCAAACATTTTTATATTACTCCATTAATTTAATTAATACATCAATATTAGTTATATTATTAACAGTATAATAGTTTCCAATACAATACTTTTAACATTAACTGTTTACTATGGGTGATTTAGTTGCAACATTTAAAACCATCATCCTACACTAGAACACACTTGAGAGTGACCTATATTTTATTGAATTATTTTATTTACACATGTCCTATCTTGGCAATTGGCAAAATATCATAAAAGAGCCAGTTTCCTATTTGTGGCAGAGGTGATATCCTAGCTTAGCTGGATGACTGACTTTGTTAAATCAGGGTTGTATCTGATATCAAACTAGACAGATCAGATTAATGAAATAGGATTCTGTTTTGTATAACCCTTCAACATTTTTGATGTTGAAGGGTGTCTGTGTGCAGAATTGTTCATGGAGAGAAAGGCAGCCCCAGGCTAACAGATAACAAGCACGCCACAAGTACATCCAAGACGAATTTGTAATTTTGACTGTGAACACCCTGTTCCTCATGACTACAAACAGAAACCACAATAATGTCACCAACAATCGTCAAAGATTGAAGACAATAGCTCCCAACAAGAAAGGGAAGGACAGTACACTGGGTGTGTATAGGTGTGTTGCCACCGAACATGCATCATGGAACCTCATAAAAAACAAAACGTTATGCAAGATAACATGCTGCTTCTGAGGTTTTCTTCACATCGGCAGCTTCTGAACATAAAGATCAGAGTTTGTCTGGGAAACAGACACAGCATCAACTATCACTTGTCATGGCTACATGGCCAAAAACAGAGTTTTGTGATTTTAACAAATTAAGAAAAAGAAAAAAAGGAGCAATGTCATATATTTTGCTCAGTTTGTCTGTACAAATTATCATGTGAGCTGTAATGGTCAAATTATTATTTTTTTTTTCATTTTATAGCATGGCATTTTTTCAGGCCTCACATAGTAAAATGCATTATTCTATTTACAAGAGCTTTCTCAATAATGACTAATGTCTAGACATTTGCAGAGACAGTCTGCACATTCTGTGGCAAAAAAGCAATTGAATTATCAGATGATACAGTCAGGGTAAGCCCAGCTTCATAAAACAGTCAACTCACCTTTGTTCTTATCACTAGGTAATGGAAGCTAAAAATCACAGATGAAGCGATGAGCGCTTGCACAAAGAATTGGCATATGTTGACTGAGAAATAGAGAAACAAAGTTTTTTTCTCTGTGCAGGCTTCTTTCTTTCAGATGGAGCATATTGACATATTTTTGGATGTTCTTGTTCTCTGGCCACATGTTTTTTAGACCTAATGTAACCTCAAAATTGAAAAGTGAAGTTTTTGTTGATTTTGTTTTTGCCAATTAGCTGCATAGGATGGGAATTAAAAATATTTTTTTGTGTGTTTAAAATGGTAAAAAAAAAAAAAAAAAAAATGTAATTTCATACTATTAAAATTCAACAAATGCATCTGATATATTTGAGAATCATTGTCATGACCCTGGAAGGTGCTTTTGTTCTATCATGTAAAACTGCTGAGTCCACATCCACTCAGTTTCTGTCATAAAGCTGCCAAACCTGATTGCAACAGAAAAACAAAGTATACCACACCCTTTAAATTTCAGTAACCTCTCAGAATACTGATATCAACAGACTGTTATAAAGTCTCACATATCAAATTACCTGGCTAAAATTTGAATTCTTTGTTTTGTTGAATAAAGAGAAATGATTTTGTTCATATTGTAAAGTTTCCAAAAGAGCTCATGATGACACAACAAAAGACACACACACAAAGGTTTGGTTGGCTCCTGTTAATAATTATTTGAATAATGTGCAGACACAAATGGAATACTAAATTAATGTAAAAAGAAATATTAGGCACATTCAGTGTCTTAGCTTTGCACAAAACAAGTTAATAAATAAAACTTATAGTAAATACATTGCGAGTGTATTTACATAAATTAAAGAAAACCCACACATTTAATTATACAATCAAATAATAAATATTTTGACCAAAAAGTAATGATTCAACATTTAATTGGTTCTCTTCAGTTAATCCCAAATGGAAATTGGCTTATAGTGTTTCTCAGTCATTTTGTTGCATTTCTGAGAGCATAATTGAAATTTTCCACACTACTTGTCTAAATGAGAAGGAAACTAGTTTGTTTCCTTCTCATTTAAACAGGGTGGAGGTGCTTTCCTGCATCATGCAAATGATTATGTACAGTTCCTCTTACATTTTCAATTGCTCAATGGGTCGCTGTTGAATAGTCTTGACCTCCACGACATTTAAGCATAAATTCATTTTACAAGCCTTAACATGCAAAATGATATTTCCATTAGCCTTTTCAACATCATCAGGCAATGGTTTGTGACCCACAACAGGAGAGTGATAGAGTTCCTCTCATTCCTTAACCTCATTTACTTTTTCCAGCATGGATACAGAAAGTATAGGAAAACTGCAATGCATGCACACTTTTTCTAAGGTTTTAAGCTATTGCTACTTTAGACAAGTAGTGTGGAAAATTTCAATTATGCTCTCAGAAATGCAACAAAATGACTGAGAAACACTATAAGCCAATTTCCATTTGGGATTAACTGAAGAGAACCAATTAAATGTCGATAGATAGATAGATAGATAGATAGATAGATAGATAGATAGATAGATAGATAGATAGATAGATAGATAGATAGATAGATAGATAGATAGATAGATAGATAGATAGATAGATAGATAGATAGATAGATAGATAGATAGATAGATAGATAGATAGATAGATAGATAGATAGATAGATAGATAGATAGATAGATAGATAGATAGATAGATAGATAGATAGATAGATAGATAGATAGATAGATAGATAGATATCGATCGATAGATAATTACTTATTTTATCTAAGTCAGTTTGGATAATGATTTTCATTTAATGGGGGAAAAAGTTGTTTGACTTAATGTAGACCTTTCCTTCTCATACTTGTTATGCTTTTTACCTTTGCCCAGTTATTTCCTTAAAGGTAATGAAATCTACAATTCCACTGCTGACATGCATAATCCCGTTGATTACAAGATTATGTAAAAGTTAAAGTAAATTTCAATGGCAACACTTAATTGCAAATACAACTTCTACAAACATAACAAAAGTTAATCTCTGAGAAAATACAGCAACAAGGATGGATATGTTATTTCTCTATCTTTTCATCTTAAAGGAAACACATTTTGCTTCTTAGTCACAGAGCTTAAAGTCTTAAAATCATAGTTCAACACACCCTGTCAAAAGTCATAGAAGCAAAACAGGCTTATAATTTTGTATGAATTCAAGTAAATAATACTTACAGACAGACTGTCAGTGATATGTAATTTATGCAAACGTCGTCTATAAAGTGAATGTGTGCTGATGTCTCCTATATTTCACAGCCTTACCTATAAGAGAGGAAGTTCTTAGACCATTCACATAATCTCTCTTAATCCTCCAGAACCTTGATTCATCTCCTTAATATCCTGGTTCAGTTTAGTTAATTCCAAAAAAACCCTATAAGGTTTTTAAGTCTTGCAGTTTGGACTGGATACCACGGAAAGATTGTCTCTTGTGACTGTTTTAACAATATAAATATTCACAAAAATGATCCCGCTTCCCGGAATAAAAATATCAAAATGTCAGATTCTACTAGTACATATGTTGACTACAAGTAAAAAAAAGAAGAAAAGTAAGTGTAAACTAAAGCTCACACAGAAAGCTCAGTGTGGAAAAAAATGAAGTGGACATTTCAAATATAGATCTACTATCAACAATCTAGAATTGCATCTTTGACTGTGACATGAAGCTTCACATAACACTGCAGCCATGCTATAAATTGACTTACATTTTCTAAAAATTGCTATTGCTGTAAAGAATAACAAAATAAATTGCAAACAAAACATATCCAACGTCATATCATAATACCTAATAACAAAAGAAATGCTGCTCAACCAGTTGAGCGAATACAATTGATAAACACACAAAAAAAATCAAAGAGGCCACACCTAAAATACTTTATTGTTCACATTACTACTCAGATATTTTACATCATTATACAGTCCTGATGTCACAGTACCTGCCCTACACAGGTATAAAGCTTCTTTGCGAAACTTAAGAATAGTCACAACACAGGCAGCAAGAAGAAATAATCGGAGAGAAACTTTTCCGTACTAAATTTTATTTCAACAAGAGTAACTGTAAGTACTTCATATTTTTAGTCTCCATAAATATTAAACTTTATGTTTACCTCTAGTAATAAGATGAAAAAAAAATTGTGATTCGATGGTTAGGACAGTGGTATAATGTTTACTATGTTAGGTTTGGTCTTTGTATATTCTTACTTTGTAGGGATTAGGTGCTTCCAAATCCTCAGGATTTCACCAACTATTAACATATTAGGCAAAATTAAATTATTAAGTGGTTTATGGTGAAAATTTGGGTTAGAATAATTTTTTCTCTTCCCTTGTAATGGCAGGGTGATGTACTCATGTCGTAACCCGTCTCTTACCAAATGACCAAAACAAAAAAAAAAATTGTGAGATAGTTTGTTAAGCGTATGGACTGACTGATGGCGCTTTTTAAATTTTGTTGTTCCTGTGACAATAACAATAAAGACTTTTATCTTTTCTTATCTTATCTTATCTTATCTTATCTTATCTTATCTTATCTTATCTTATCTTATCTTATCTTATCTTATCTTATTTTATCTTATTATGTGTTATGCATACACAATACTTATATATACAAAAAGTAAAAAGATAATAAATGTGTCAGACTGATCAGAAAGAAATTATGTCAAAAATAAATAAATAAAAGCTTCTGGAATTAAAAAGGGGAACACTGAAGGAACAATATTAGTAAATATAAAGAATATAGGTCTAGACTAAAAATGTCACGTACAAAAAATGACAGTGATTAAAACAATGCTTATCTGTAAAAGGGTATGAACACAATAGTGAAAAATTTTTATGAATATGTTTAAAAGCATTCCACATAAAGTACTGCCACCTTCAAATAAGATGATAAAAGAAAGAAAAGAAAAAATATATTTTAACTTAAAAAAAGATAAAATAAAACAAATATATCTATACTTCATACAGAGAAAAAAAATCCAACAAAGATGAAGAAGATTCCGATGATTTTGCTTGTGGTTATTGGTAAGTTTGCACATGTGAACAAACATATGCTGAACTGAAAAAAGAAAAACAAAACTTAAAAACTGTTTCCTTTGAAAGCTTTAGAGATGCAGACAAAAGCACAAATGTCAACGACCACAACTGCCTCAATAACAACCACAGCAGCTCCAACTACAACCACGACAGAACCAACAACAACCACAGTTGCTCCAACAACAACCACAGTTGCTCCAACAACAACCACAGCTGAAACAACAACAACCACAGCTGTCCCAACAACAACCACAGCTGAACCAACAACAACCACTCCTGCACCAACAACAACCACAGCTGTCCCAACAACAACAGCTGAAACAACAACAACCACAGCTGTTCCAACAATAACCACAGCTGCACCAACAACAACCACAGCTGCACCAACAACTACCACTCCTGCACCAACCACAACCACAGTTGCTCCAACCACAATCACAGCTGAACCAACAACAACCACAACTGTGCCAACTACAACGACTGCACCAACAACAACCACAGCTGAACCAACAACAACCACTCCTGCACCAACAACCACAGTTGCACCAACCACAACCACAGTTGCTCCAACAACAACCACAGCTGAACCAACAACCACAGCTGTGCCAACTACAACGACTGCACCAACAACAACCACAGCTAAACCAACAACAACAACTCATACACCAACAACAACCACAGTTTCTCCAACAACAACCACAGCTGAAACAACAACCACAGCTGTCCCAACAACAACCACAGCTGCACCAACAACAACGACTCCTGCACCAACAACAACCACAGCTGTCCCAACAACAACAGCTGCAACAACAACAACCACAGCTGTTCCAACAACAACCACAGCTGCACCAACAACAACCACAGCTGCACCAACAACCACCACTCCTGCACCAACCACCACAGTTTCTCCAACAACAACCACAGCTGAACCAACAACAACCACTCCTGCATCAACAACAACCACAGTTGCTCCAACAACAACCACAGTTGCTCCAACAACAACCACAGCTGAACCAACAACAACCACAGCTGCGCCAACTACAACAACTGCACCAACAACAACCACAGCTGAACCAACAACAACCACTCCTAAACCAACAACAACCACAGCTGCACCAACTACAACGACTGCACCAACAACAACCACAGCTGAACCAACAATAACCACAGCTGCACCAACTACAACGACTGCACAAACAGCAACCACAGCTGCGCTAACTACAACTGCTGCACCAACAACAACCACAGCTGTTCCAACAACAACCACAACTGCACCAACAACCACAGCTGTTCCTACAACAACCACAGCTGTTCCAACAACAACCACAACTGCAGCAACAACAACCACAACTGCACCAATAACCATAGCTGTCACAACAACAGCAGCTGCAACAACAACCACAGCTGTTCCAACATCAACCACAGCTGAACCAACAACAACCACAGCTGCACCAACTACAACGACTGCACTAAGAACAACCACAGCTGAACCAACAACAACCACAGCTGCGCCAACTACAACGACTGCACTAAGAACAACCACAGTTGCACCAACAACCACAGCTGAACCAACAACAAAAACTCCTGCACCAACAACAACCACAGTTGCACCAACCACAACAACAACCACAACTGCACCAACAACAACCACAGTTGCACCAACAACAACCACAGCTGTTCCATCAACAACCACAACTACACCAATAACCATAGCTGTCGCAACAGCAACAACAGCTGCACCAACAACAACCACAGCTGCACCAACAACAACCACTGCTGTACCAACAACAACCACAACTGAAGCAACAACAACCACAGCTACACCAACAACAACCACAGCTGCACCAACAACAACCACTCCAGCACCAACAACAACCACAGTTGCTCCAACAACAACCACTCCTGCACCAACAACAACCACAGTTGCTCCAACAACAACCACTCCAGCACCAACAACAACCACAGTTGCTCCAACAACAACCACAGCTGCACCAACAACAACCACTCCAGCACCAACAACAACCACAGTTGCTCCAACAACAACCACAGCTGCACCAACAACAACCACTGCTGTACCAACAACAACCACAGCTGCACCAACAACAACCGCAGCTGCACCAACAACAACCACTCCTGCACCAACAACAACCACAGTTGCACCAACCACAACCACAGTTGCTTCAACAACAACCACAGCTGAACCAACAACAACCACAGCTGAACCAACAACCACAGCTGCGCCAACTACAATGACTGCAACAACAACAACCACAGCTGAACCAACAACAACTCCTGCACCAACAACAACCACAGTTGCTCCAACAACAACCACAGCTGAAACAACAACAGCTGCGCCAACTACAACGACTGCACCAACAACAACCACAGCTGCACCAACAACAACCACTCCTGCACCAACAACAACCACAGTTGCTCCAACAACAACCACAGCTGAAACAACAACAACAGCTGCGCCAACTACGACTGCACCAACAACAACCACAGCTGAACCAACAACAACCACTCCTGCACCAACAACAACCACAGTTGCTCCAACAACAACCACAGCTGAACCAACAACAACCACAGCTGCACCAAGTACAACGACTGCACCAACAACAACCATAGCTGAACCAACAACAACCACAGTTGCACCAACAACAACCACAGCTGAACCAACAACAACCAATCCTGCACCAACAACAAACACAGTTACACCAACCACAACCACAGTTGCTTCAACAACAACCACAGCTGAACCAACAACCACAGCTGCGCCAACAACTACTCCTGCACCAACAACAACCACAGCTGAACCAACAACAACTCCTGCACCAACAACAACCACAGTTGCTCCAACAACAACCACAGTTGCTCCAACAACAACCACAGCTGAAACAACAACAGCTGCGCCAACTGCAACGACTGCACCAACAACAACCACAGCTGCACCAACAACAACCACTCATGCACCAACAACAACCACAGTTGCTCCAACAACAACCACAGCTGAAACAACAACAACCACAGCTGTCCCAACAACAACCACAGCTGTCCAACAAAAACAACAGCTGCAACAACAACCACAGCTGTTCCAACAACAACCACAGCTGCACCAACAACAACCACAGCTGAACCAACAACAACCACTCCTAAACCAACAACAACCACAGTTGCTCCAACAACAACCACAGCTGAACCAACAACAACACAGCCGCAACAACTACAACGACTGCACCAACAACAACAACAGCTTCGGTGACTACAACTGCTGCACCAACAACAACCACAGCTGCACCAACTACAACGACTGCACCAACAACAACCACAGCTGCACTAACTACAACTGCTGCACCAACAAAAACCACAGCTCTTCCAACAACAACCACAACTGCACCAACAACAACCACTGCTGTACCAACAACAACCACAGCTGCACTAACAACAACCACTCCTGCACCAACAACAACCACAGCTGCACCAACTACAACGACTGCACCAAAAACAACCACAGCTGCGCTAACTACAACTGCTGCACCAACAAAAACCACAGCTCTTCCAACAACAACCACAACTGCACCAACAACAACCACAGCTGTTCCTACAACAACCATAGCTGTTCCAACAACTACAACTGTAGCAACAACAACCACAGCTGCACCAACAACAACCACTGCTGTACCAACAACAACCACAGCTGCACTAACAACAACCACTCCTGCACCAACAACCACAGTTGCTCCAACAACAACCACAGCTGCACCAACTACAACTGCTGCACCAAAAACAACCACAGCTGCACCAACAATAACCACTGCTGTACCAACAACAACCACAACTGCAGCAACGACAACCACAGCTGCACCAACAACAACCACTCCAGCACCAACAACAACCACAGTTGCTCCAACAACAACCACAGCTGCACCAACAACAACCACAGCTGCACCAACTACAACGACTGCACCAACAACAACCACAACTGTAGCAACAACAACCACAGCTGCACCAACAACAACCACAGCTGCACCAACAACAACCACAACTGCACCAACAACAACCACTCCTGCACCAACAAACACCACAGTTGCTCCAACAACAACCACAGTTGCACCAACAACAACCACAGCTGCACCAACAACAACCACTCCTGCACCAACAACAACCACAGTTGCTCCAACAACAACCACAGCTGAAACAACAACAACAGCTGCGCCAACTACGACTGCACCAACAACAACCACAGCTGAACCAACAACAACCACAGTTGCTCCAACAACAACCACAGCTGAACCAACAACAACCACAGCTGCACCAAGTACAACGACTGCACCAACAACAACCATAGCTGAACCAACAACAACCACAGTTGCACCAACAACAACCACAGCTGAACCAACAACAACCACAGCTGCACCAAGTACAACGACTGCACCAACAACAACCATAGCTGAACCAACAACAACCACAGTTGCACCAACAACAACCACAGCTGAACCAACAACAACCAATCCTGCACCAACAACAACCACAGTTGCACCAACCACAACCACAGTTGCTTCAACAACAACCACAGCTGAACCAACAACCACAGCTGCGCCAACAACTACTCCTGCACCAACAACAACCACAGCTGAACCAACAACAACTCCTGCACCAACAACAACCACAGTTGCTCCAACAACAACCACAGTTGCTCCAACAACAACCACAGCTGAAACAACAACAGCTGCGCCAACTGCAACGACTGCACCAACAACAACCACAGCTGCACCAACAACAACCACTCATGCACCAACAACAACCACAGTTGCTCCAACAACAACCACAGCTGAAACAACAACCACAGCTGTCCCAACAAAAACAACAGCTGCAACAACAACCACAGCTGTTCCAACAACAACCACAGCTGCACCAACAACAACCACAGCTGAACCAACAACAACCACTCCTAAACCAACAACAACCACAGTTGCTCCAACAACAACCACAGCTGAACCAACAACAAACACAGCCGCAACAACTACAACAACTGCACCAACAACAACAACAGCTTCGGTGACTACAACTGCTGCACCAACAACAACCACAGCTGCACCAACTACAACGACTGCACCAACAAAAACCACAGCTGCACTAACTACAACTGCTGCACCAACAAAAACCACAGCTCTTCCAACAACAACCACAACTGCACCAACAACAACCACAGCTGTTCCTACAACAACCATAGCTGTTCCAACAACAACCACAACTGTAGCAACA